GTAGGGTACGGTACGGTAACGGACCGTACGTACGTAACGTAGTAAGTAGTACGTAGTTAGTTAGTTAGTTCTTACTTATATATAGTATAGTAGTATATACTATACTATACTATACTATATATATATATATATATATATATATATATATATATATATATATATATATATATAATATATATATATATATATATATATATATATATATATATATATATATATTTGCCTTACTGGTCTCCGTATCGCTTATTTGAACTTGTCTTTCTACTTTCAATTGAGTCGCCTTCTGAATCGATTACTGATACTACTTCTAAGTCGACTTCTGATTCTTCTCATAAAGTCGTTAATATAGCGACGGAAGCCTTGTTTCTGTGAAATTTGCTAACGTAAACAACTATCTGTATATTCCTATCCACCTCTATCCTGTCCTTATATGGTATAGTGCGCTTGCCCCAAATAGAGGTATGGTGAGTGTGGGAACTCCGCCCAACCAAGAATTTAGTGTTTGGCAAGGCGGTGCTGCCCTTGCATCCTTATCAAGCTTCACTGAACAGTGGATCACCCGTGAAGAATACGACGGTATGTAGATTGCTGGTTCTGCGGGTTCATTTCATGTGCAAATCATTGCTAAGGGCTTGTAATGTTATAATGCTATGAAATGGAAGTTATCTGCACTACTTTAGAAGAGATATATCTACTAGTGTTGGCGCGTTACTAATCTGACAAGTTTTGTCTCCAATATCCAGAATACGGAGACACGATAGTGGACATTAAATCGTCTCTGATGCGGTGAGGCACAGCCAGAGCTGTTTGAGACGAGGATAGAGTTAGTAAATGCAAGATCGACAGCAATTATAAAGGTTGATCATTCAACAACAACAACAACAAATCGCTCGTGTCCGACACCAAATTCATTTTGGAGGCCAAGCACTTCAAAACTTATACCAAAGGATTTTAAGTTTTGATTGTGGGTCTGATATACTTGGACGTTGTATTTGTATCAGAGAGGTCGTTCACCTACTTCTTTAGTTAACGTAACTCTTACCCTAGAGAAACAATCAAAATTCCAAGACAAGCCAGGCTCTCAATCAAAGTAAGGGTGATCAAGTAAGGGTGATCATTTATATCAGAGGGAAAGGACAACTAGATAGTTGACCAAGACGATTGCAACTAGTGCGATGTTGACGTCGAACTCCTAAGCCTGCCGGACTACTTGTTCCTCACATTCTAAAATTGAAGCACGACGGAAGCCCTATTTGAAATCCCCTTTGCGCGGCTGAGCCCCGCTCTACATGGTGTAAAATAAACATTAAGCAAGTGTTAGTCTAAGAACATACTGAATAGGCGTGATTATAAAATCACTGGCTGCTCTCATAGGTCAAGCTGAATGAATACACATGATTATAAAGAAAACAGTGACAACACTCATAGCTCTCGAACATGTAGCTAACGTCCAGAAGCACCCGCCTAGAAAGAAATCCTCAAACTTTGGTCAAAAAGATTAGACATACCTAGTGGTGCGCGGCACCCTTTCTGTGCATCTCAATACTGGTCTTATTCGCCCATACGTAAACTCCATAGGCAAGAATGAATGGGGGAACGACATTGACAATGTTCTCGCTTATACGACGGTAGGCGTTTGCTGGGGCCTGCGAAACGAAAATGAAAGCGTCAACGTCCATGAACAGTACTTGACCCGTTTATCGTCACTACATCAGTTCCCTCGACAAGAATAAAATTTAAACATATTGTAGAAGGGTGAGAAGTTGATAAAGTATCAACTCGCATTCCAAACCGTTGAAACAGAACTAAACTTTATTAGATGCAGCAGGAATTAAAGGCAGGGCAATTACAGCTCATAAACAGCCATAACTAGATTGTATCTCCCCCTCATACACATGAAATAATAAGGACATTGAGATGTATCCTTTCATTCTTGTATGTTAAACGGACGGTGAGAGATACAATCGCATTTCTTTAAAGGAGGTAAAACAAGAAACACACAACGTCTCCCTTTATCTCACCTACAACGATATAGAGTTTTGGAATACAACAACTCTTTTCTGACCGGTTAAACACTCGCACTTTCTTGATTGCAACATGCTACGGGATATACACACCGGTACCAGAAAAAGACATACGTGTGAGAAGAAGCCGGTGAATGCTCGAGCCTCGAAAGGAGAGATCGAATGTGTGACCACTCCCTTCATTTTTGACATAGCTCCCCATACTAGATGTCCCATATTGTCTATATTACTGTTCAACGACTCTAAACTAGATAATAGAATGTACTTCTGAAGGTCTTAGTGCACGTACTCTACAGGGTATATTGAAACGAATTATGCATCATATTTACAGTATGTAGTACATCACTTCGTTCCAAATTAATAGAAAATATATCTACACTAAAAATATACCAGTCTTTTTTTGGAAAAATAAACAGATGTATGTATTTTAGACGAACTTGGAAGAGGGCACGTTTATTTTTATATCTATTTCCAAACCGTGTCTTTGAATGGCTTAAATCTTGTAATATAGTATATTAGGCAGTAAAAAATACAGCAGCCAATGAAGTTTGATTCTAAAGTGGCAATATTATTGGAACTGAGAAGTTCTGGGCCCTTGGCCTCAAACTGAAGGTGCCACTCTGAGTCGCTGGGTCCGGGGACAAAAAGAGCCACATCGCCTCCCACGAGTCACGAGTTCACGACTCGCAGAATGCCACTTGATGAGTCTTGACATTCCTTGGAAGTTGGAGGTCATGTGTGATGTTCTCACAATGGGTAGCCTGAAATCCTGAATGCCTGATTGTAAGGTTTCACTAACGCTTGCTGTCTATATTCTGAATACTTGTGATAGATAGAGGTAGCAATCATTGGCAAATAAGACTGTATGCTACTGACATTTTCAAATAAATAGAAATATCCCTACGAAGGATCACAGATAAAGTAGGGGTAAACATGTTATGCTAACTGTAATGATAAAGCATAAATATGGTGTATAAGTCGCACACGTATCATATACACGCGAGCTGTATGCACAGGAGATGCATGAAGTAGCCTAATTTTAATGACCGACAGCGACGATTCGACGACTCTTCATTCCAACAGTGTGGACTTATTATTATCGTTCAGCCATAATACCCATATGAACCTCTAGAGTAGTATTTACATAGTAATAGTAGAGAAAAATAGAATATGTATCAACCCCCTGAATTTTTTTTATGTCTCTTTGCCATTTTGACCCCTGCAATCCTGCATATCCTTCGGACGTTAGTTCGATCCTCTATATTTTATTAGTCGTCTTCTCTTTCTCAGAGAGAGAGGGTCATATGCACCCCATCCAGATTCCAGACAGGGCCAAAGAATTTGTAGAATTCCAAATCGCGTGTCGTCCGTTGTCCAAATAGAGAACAACGCTAGTTTAGGGTTTTCAAATTCCACCTGCTGGGCCTGCCTGCTGACAGTATATTTATGTGAGCAGTGAGAATAATAGTAAATACAGGTATATATTTTGGCGGGCGCATTTAGATGCACGCGGCACAAGCTAAATAAATACTGACATCGCCAGAGTGACCTGTCTGCAGTAGTGGTCTGTAGTAGTGGTCTGTAGTAGTGGTCTGTAGTAGTGGACGTAGATGAACAACATGGCTTTTAAGGTATGTGTTACACTTCGATAAAATCGTCGACGCCCTAGAATTTCGTTGATATCTTTTTAAGTTCATTGTTGTTCGTCGTCCCATTCTCGAGCGACCGTCGCAGTTCCGATACACTTGAAACCGTGCATATGTGCTAAGAGGTACTTAGCACAGGTACTTGGCACCCAAGATAGTACCAAAGTTGGCATATACTAAGATTTCTACCCTTTGCTATTCACTCCCACATACATATACAAACGCTCTATATTCAAATAGGGCCTTAGTTTCCTGGGAGCGGCCTTGAAGCAGAATTCCAAACAACTGACTGGCCTACTATCCAGCGTAAGATCCACTTTCAGGACTGGTCGTATTAGGTGTGTACGTGATACGTTTATAGTGGCGTGTATTCTTTACTGAATCAGTGCACACTAGTTTGTATGAATGTCGGCACCTGGTCAGCCTCGTCTAGGGCCAGCTATCTTCGCTTTATTATTTGCCATACCTCAATTGTAGTGGTTGTGTAGCACCATTTTTGAATGCCTTCTGTCTTGGTTAACGGAAGGCGAGATGCAGTGTCTTGCTATTGCTATATATACATAAATTGCTCAGCGCTCTATATGTTATATAAGCATTAATTTTCAGACCGCTCTTCATAATTGCAGCTATGCGACAGCGGCTCAGGCAGATGTTACACACCACGCCAAGCACATCCGAAATGTCGCTGTCATCGCGCACGTCGATCACGGAAAAACCACACTGGTGGATCAGCTGCTCGGTCAATGTGGCACAGATGTCAGTGAAGACCGAGTGATGGACTCTATTAATTTAGAACGAGAGCGTGGAATCACTATCATGAGCAAGAACACGAGTGTTATTTGGAACGACAACTTGTTTAATATTGTGGACACGCCAGGACATCAAGACTTTGGTGGTGAGGTGGAGCGAGTGCTGAGTATGGTGGACGGTGTGTTACTGGTTGTAGATGCAACTGAGGGTCCGATGGCACAGACAAAGTTTGTGTTGTCGAAAGCGCTTCAAAACAACCTCCGGCCATTGGTTGTCATCAACAAGGTATGAATATGTCCTATGAATTGAGTCTGACATGACATTGACCGCTTCGTTTACAACAAGAACCAGAATACCGCGTTCTTAATCTTGATGCGCTTCGTATTCATTCACAACACACACTTTCTCTCTCTCTCACTTTCTCTCTCTTTATTTATTTCTCTACTGTATGGACTCGTTAAGATACGAGCGCTTGCGAGCGATTGCAGGTTGTTCTACTCACTTCGTGTGCATGCACTAAAAAGTCCCCAAATCGAAAACCAAAGATTGCATTCAATATCTATGAATGGCATTAGCATGCATGTACATATGTATGTATATTTTTAATATATGTATATATTTATACATATATATATATATATATATACGTGCATATATATATGTCTGTGTCTGTGTTTGATGTATGCATGTATATGTTTCTATGTATGTACATGTATATATATATATATATACTTATATATATGTCTGTGTGTGTATGTATGTATATTTATGTATTTATATATATGTGTGTATGTACGTATGTACACATTTTTGAATTATTATTATATATATATATATTGTTTATATGTTGTTTGTGTGTATATGTGTGTGCGTGTTTGTGCGCATGTATATTTATATATGTTTGAATATTGATGTAAATGCACAATAAATGACAATATAAACATACACATTGACATATTTATGCATGTACGTGTGGGCTTCCTCGCACTAAAAAATAGATAATACAGCTTATCGTTATATGTTGTGCATATATATATATATATATATATATATATGTTGGAAATGGTATTCAATCCTATAGGATTTAGAATTTGATTCTGTGCACATAAGTATCGAATAGTTGCGTCCATCAGTTTTGTGATATGAAGGTATTCACAATAACTATTGCGTTTACGTTGAGAATTATCATCATTTTCACTTCATCGTATATTTGACGCTGCAATCCAGCGGCATGTCGATATACGTGTTCTAGTCATTTGTTAACTTCCAGCTCTGATTGGATATTTTTCGATTTTCCTACAGGTTGATCGTGATTCTGCTCGCATGAATGGCGAAGTCGAGGATGAGTTGTTCGAACTCTTCCTCAATTTGAACGCCTCGGACGAGCAAATGGAGTTCCCTATTCTGTATGTTATTTTCGATGATACATCCCTGGATCCTAAGAAAAAATTGTTTTTGCGTGGAAAGGATATAATAAATAGTCTCTGTTCACATCCCGAGTTTCCTGCTGGAGGATCATCGATTGATACTCAAAAGCTCTCTGCCTGTCGCGCACTTCAGATATGCTTCCGGAAAGGAAGGTTGGTGTGTGAACAGCCCTGATGACATTGCTAATGGTAAAGAGAAAGGCATGCTGCCACTCTACGAGTCTATTGCCGGTCAAGTACCGCCGCCCTCTGTTGACGAAGATGGTCCATTCTCGATGCTGGTTACAACGCTAGGTAATGCGAAACACATTATTATACTTGAGCTCTCAGTCACGAGTTATTGCTTATTATGCTTGAGTGTACTTATTTTGGCCATTTCTTACGTTCATTATAGAGCATGACAACTATGTGGGCCGAGTCATGACTGGCAAAGTATATTCGGGAACCGCTAAGATTGGCGATAGAGTCAAGGTGCTCTGTAGGGGCGGCGAAACACCAACTGTGGCTACCCATGGATCGGGGAAGACGGGCAGAGACCTCGTTGTCGATGGAAAGGTCACGAAGGTAGGGCAAGCTCAAACTATATCGAGATACAATTCGCCTTAATTTTATTTGGAAAGTTATATGCGCTTACGCGTGACTTTACTTACCTTCTTATTTTCGAAAGGTCTTCCGTCGACGTGGCCTGGCCCGAATCGAGATCGACGAAGCCATCGCCGGCGACATTATAAGTATTGCCGGTGTTACAGCCAATGTCACAGATACTATAGGTGCACACGCCATCACCACACCCATCCCGTCTATTGCTATCGACCCGCCTACTATCGCCATGACGTTTGGCGTTAATGGTATGAGCAATTTTCGCTTGTCGTGTGTCAATATTTCGTTCGTGTATTTAGATACCCAGGGCTTCTTATGTTTTGTTTGCGCATTGTTTGAATACAGAGGTGCCAGATTGCGTTCTTTGAAGCGTGGATATCATCTCTACTGCAATGATTACTATATCCTTGTTCCGATATATATTCATCTTTCCATTGACGCTCCTGCCCTGCTCTGGTTGTGTCTGTGCAATTCTAAATCCAAGATTCGCCACTTGGCGGAAAGGAGGGCAAAGAATTGACTTCCTCAAAAATCAAAGAACGCTTGACTAAAGAGTGTGAGAACAACGTAACCCTCACTCTGAAATCAGCAACGGAGGCGGACAAATTCGAGGTAAAGCAGTGTATATTTTTAGTACAAAGTTTGGGCGGCGAAATGATTCCTTAATCGTGTACTTTCTTTTTGAAGCATACACGCACAAATATTATTGGCTGCATATGAGAAAGAGGGCTTCGCAGTATTGCAGTTTTACCCGTATTTTGATAAGCAAGACGTATATCAGAGTTTGATCGTAGTTTAATCACCTCTCAGACACTTAATTATCTCACTGTATGATTCAGGTTCATGGTCGTGGTGAGCTTCAGCTGGGTATTCTAATCGAGCAGATGCGACGTGAGGGCTTTGAACTGGGCGTTTCACCGCCAAGAATTCTTACACGGTATTCATCAGCGTATTTGGGTTGTGTGATGGTTCGCTCGGGTATTCGTTCGTTGCCTCTCGTCGGTTGCTGAGTTTCCATAATGGACTTCCAAAGACATAAGGAGATTGTTTTCTTACACTCTGTTCATTTATACTTCGCAGTAAGAATTTAGACACTAATGATGTAGAAGAACCCTGGGAGGAAGTCACCATTGATGTGCCTCCCCAATATTCTGGAAGTATCATTAACAACATGCAGGAGCGAATGGGAGAAATGACATCTATGAAGCAGGATGATCATAGCGCGAGGTAATTACGACAGTTGAGCGTCAAACGTCTTAACTTTAGTGTGCAGAACCATTTTCGAGCTCACATATCACTGATAAGCTTGCGTTGTGATTGCGTTGTTTCTGTTACTGCCTACTGATATACTCTTGCTCTTTTCCCTCGAAGGATTGTCTTCGAGATCCCCTCCAAGGGTCTTATGGGCTACAGAGGCCAGCTCAAATCACAAACTAGTGGCTCAGCAGTTGTGAACTCCATTTTCAAGGAATACAGGTATGAGAAGTGTCAAATCAATAGCTTTGATTTTTCGATTACTTTCTGTGTCGCCGACGCCCTTTGAAGCGCTCCCGAGTACTAATTCGGATTTTATACATTTCGCAGGACGGAGAAGGCGATTCCGTCTAGTGAGGGTGAGAAGGGTAAATTAATTTGCACTGTTGATGGGCAAGCCACATCGTATGCACTAAGAGATATCGAACCACGAGGGGAATTGTTCATCAAGCCTGGAGATGAGGTTAGTCACACGGAAATAGAACACTGATTTTAACTTCAAATTTATAATACTTAAATCACCTTTCTTTCGACCTAATGCTGGTGATGTGATGGAGGGGAGATCGAGATTCAATATCAATTTCTGCACAATCACAATGATGTTTTAAAACTCGCATACTTGCATAGGTCTACAAGGGTATGCTCATAGGAGAGTGCTCGAAGGCACTCGATTTGGAGGTCAACCCCACAAAAGGTATGTATCAGAATAGAAATTAATCGAAAAGCTTGTAACAAATATTCAGTTGCAGCTATCACTTGGTTTATTTTTTTTGCTCGCGTTTCCCACGCTGATAGATAATCAGAAACCATTCGCTTGTCTCATTATAGGTAAGAAGCTGACAAACATGCGTGCGTCTGGAAACGATGAAGCCATCCGCTTGACACCTCCACGCGTCATGTCCCTAGAGGATGTTATTGCCTACTTGGCAGGAGATACGAAGCACAGTATAGAGGTAAACGATCGGTGCAAATGTTTATGTTGAAGTGTACATCGATTTGATGGGATTTTTTTGAGTTAAGTGATGTTTTTATTTGAAACCAAGGTTAAGTGCGAGTGGCATAACATCTTTAACCTCTGTCTCCATGCTTAGGTCACCCCAACCAAGGTTCGTCTCAGACGGAGGGATCTATCTGGCGCTACTGTCCGAAGAGGAAAATAAACAGTTTTTCAGGCCGCGAAGCAGTTAGACAGCAATAAAAATTATAGATTTTTTAATAAAGAGTCGCGAAAATCACCCCTTCTTCACAACCTATTCATGTATCTTAATGATTAGGGCGCATAAAGTACGTGAGAATAGTCCGCATGTACATAGGAACGACCACCTATCTTGAAAAATATACTTTAGCGCAGAATGGATGATTTAACTTTTATTTCAGTAAATTACATCACAGGAAGTTCAGTCCAACCCCTAGTTGGAATCCACGCTTTTGTAAATCTGTAGCGGCATACATCACCGGAAGGCAGTAGTTAAACTCGAGTCGGGCTGGTCCCATTTGCAATATCAGACCCACTGCAAAATTAAAAGATGCAACAGACATTAGCCGACTTGTAGTAAGGCCGTGGACAACCATTTACGTCACAGACGACCTCCAATTCAGACGGTGTGCAAAACTCGCCACATTTTGCAACTGTGCCACTTAGGTCGAGAGTATTGGTTTAAGGCTCTTTACCCAACATACCTCCAGTACTAGCTCTTAGTGGACTATCCTTTAAGCGTTGAAATAATCCCCGGTGCGCACTGTCACTCGAAAAATTGGCCAAACTCCCCGCATTGAAGAATGAGTGCAATTGAAGGGTATCGCCGGTCGATTTCTGAAGGAGCGGAATAGGTGATCTGATTTGTATCCCCGTCGCCCAGAAAGCATCACCTCCAAGTGAATCGTCTTCAATAGAGAATAGTGCGTGAATGTGAGTAATTTAGAAAAATCGAACTCACCCCGCACACATTACTACAAATATCATGCATAATTTCTGACGTCATTGTTTTCGACATTTTGCCTACGAAGCCTCGAATTGTAGATTCAACCGACGTTAACCTAAAAATATATAAATGATCGCTACAATTACTGCAACTCTGTAAATTATTACAAAAACCTCCAACACTCACTTCTATCCCTCGGACCAATGCCTGCCATGTTGAAGCCTCGCATGGACATGGCGCCGCCTAAGAAATATCTATCACTTATGGATGTAGCTGCTGACGTGCCCCCGGTGGCCCACAACGCACCCGCCCTTGCACCTAAAGAGAGGGTCAATCCGGAATGATGAAGCCGGATGTACTTTTGTATATCTCCTTCCGCCTTGAAGAAGCTCGCATCTCCGCCAAGACCTGTGCATAGGTCGTTACACGATGAGTATCAAAACAGTGAATCCCAGTTTTGAACAGTAAAAATCACTCGAAGAGTTCTTTTTAAAACTACTTGAAAACACCCACAAGCGTGCAAATCTGCGCTAATTGTCTCGAAGCCTAACTTCTAGTGGTTTCAGAAATACTTTGATTTTACGGCAGTATACTCGTCACAATTCCGCATCAACACAATAAACCTTACCAGCTAGTTCCTGTGTCAGTGAAATCCTGTATCCTCCAGTGCTCAACCCAGGATTATCCCTTAAATCTCGAGTAAACGTATGCTTAATGGAAGACTTTAAGGTGTGCCCCATTTGCGACCTTACTGCCCAAGACGCATTGGGTCCCGGACTGCATAGTTCTCTCCAAGTTGCATTATATGTGCAATCGTGTTCACCATACTTAGTCGCTCGTTTATAGTTTAGGGCCGCGCCTCGCAAAACTTCGTGGTGCGACCGGAATGATTGAAGATTATGTATCGTCTTGTGGGCACTCAGATCGAATGAATGGCAGTGCCGCTTGAGAGGCTTTGTAAAAGCTAACTGAAGGAAGAATCGAGTGCGAGACATACCGGAAAAAAAATTAGACAAGAAGGAGAACGATTCGCTTCCCACTTGAGAGCATTCTGGCTTTGTTATTTACTTCTTAAAGAGAAGGGAAAAGCAATACAGCGATGAAAATTGTAAAACTAACCCGCCACGGGACATCCGAACGCAGGTAAAAGTCACGATGCGTAGCACCTACCTGAAATGACGAGGTCGTTAATGTTCCCACAGAGTATATCCCGGATAACACCTCAGCACGTCCAGCACAATTTCTGGCCTTTCCACTTATTACCTGATAGATGGGCACCAGCAGCAGGTTGAGAACAAGTGCGAGAGCTCTTCCATGTGTGTATCTACGCAAAAATGGCTGCTTAACAATGCGATACGCAGTAAGTACTTCCGAGTAGGCAGAAAAATCGATGAAGTATAAACCAATGCAGTGCAATTTGGTAAACTGTAGCACAGCAAACGATCATAGTCCACGACATACCAGATCACCCTCCTGATTTCCAATCTGGGTCTCGGTCCGTAATTCAAATCTTCCTTTCTCAACAACGTTAATGATGATGTCGATTTCGCCCTCAAACTCGTGCGATTTCTCCAGTTTGAAATTTATTGATTTGAATATGTCCTGCAATGAGATAATCTAGTCAGTACGGGCGAGACAGACGCTCGGTGCCATTTGGTATAAATTCCCAGACAAACAAACTGATTCACTTTATAAATGCACGGCAAAAGACAATTGCCGCAGTACGTATTACGTATTACTAGAGCACGCTCGCACTAGTAAATAAAAATAGATCAACTGCAATATTTGTTATTTGGCGTCCTACATGCATCTCACACACAAGTAGATATGTAAAACAATGCAGGTCAAGCCAGCAAACATACTAAGCGTTTCAAGCGGGCTGAGGCTGTCCCTATGGCTTCAATCACATCACCTAGTGAATTGGGCTTCATCAGTCTGAACGCGGGCAAGAATTTGTCAGTGAGGATTTTATCACGATGAACGCATTGATCTACAACACAAGAATGTAAAATTCGAATGATGTAAGCTGCTTGTTAAAACGAATGGCAACATACCCAGAAACAATCGGATTAAATATAATTGGATTCGTGTTGCTGAGACCATCGAAATGCACCGAGCTCACCCTCGTTTTACGATCCATCATCTGCAACGCACAGGCAAGAAGTAAAAGTTAATGACGTGAAAATCTCACACATTTGGGTCGTCCCGATCTGGGTATAAGAGTGAAGTTAATCTCTCTACATATAAAATACTACAAACATACATGTAGAGGATCTGGGTATAAGAGTGAAGTTAATCTCTCTACATATAAAATACTACAAACATACATGTAGAGTAGATATAAGATGTTGTCAAAACAAGACTTGCTTCGATTGGGCGACGCGAACACATAGTTTGTAATAAACAAGTACTTGACTCTAGAAAAATCGCCTTGAAATTGGCCAACGTCTCATAAAATGAGTACTGCATGACCCGTACAAACGCGGAACTACACCGATATATAGAACGGCACACTATATTCTCTCGTCCCATTCATTACTACTCTTGCATCACTCAAATGATGATAGCTTTATAAAAAGATCAATGAAGGTACAAAAACGTTGTCTGAACTACATACATACATACACACATACATACTTACATACATACATACATACACATACATACATACATACATGCATACATACATACATACATACATACATACATACATACATACATACATACATACATACATACATAC